CAAGTCGTCAATAATGGACATCCTGATGGACATCATATGCTGATCACCCATTTCTCATTGCGGCGAATGAAAAGAACCTCTGCAAACTTTGCAAACAGCTCAGTAATTCTCTCAGGCAATGACTTTTGATTCTTCCAAACAAGGCACATCATCTGGGAAATGATTGGAACTTTTGACACTTCCCAGAGATGTTGATTGGTTTTCAGATTTGAAACCAACGCCTCTCCCATGTCAGCATCATCAGGAAGGTTAATCTGATGTACTGATCTCTGTTTTGTGGATTGAAGCCAGTTGTCTCCACCAGGGCATACTTTGGGTGACCCCTAAGTATGTACTGTTTCATGTGTGGTCGGTGGTAACCAGCACAAAACCTTTAGTAGGACTCTGTTGTGTAAGATATCCTGAACCCTGTACACGCCCTCCTTAGATTGCAAAACATGAGATGGAATTTCATCTACTCCATCCAACAACAAAGCAATGCGTGATTCGTGATCAGCAATAAACCCTTTCACTATGGTTTTCGTCAATTTGGTGTCTTGAGCTAGAATTTGGTCAAATATGGCATCCAAGACACAACTAGATTGCTGCATTTGCCTCAGCTTTATCCAAAGTACAAGATCGAATCTATCAAGAAGGTTTTGATCTAAGTGTGATGGAGGAGTTTGCAACCTTCACTAACAGGGTTGATTTACCCGTCCCGGCCCCACCAATAAGAAGAATCTTGATTTCCTTAACTTTTTCCTGATTGAACAAATCATCCAAGGAATTGAGAATGTCATATAGATCTTCATCTAAGAAAACCTTTCCTTCTGGTAATCTCAGCGGCCTCACTGATTTTGTTTTGCCTGGAATGTTCTTCATTAGATGGAGAGGAACAAAGAATTCCTCATACCCACTTGACGTGACTGCAGTGTAGGGTGTGCAGGGATAGTCGTTGCAGTTTGCTTGTAGCTGTCGATAATTTCCTGTTGCAAACCTCAAAGGTACCCGGCCCCTGGAGTCCGGTGATTTCTAAAAGACATCATCAAATTAGTATGAATAAACTATTTATTAAGTATACATAAACATGATTAATAACAATTCTTTCAAGCTGCAATTCATCAAAACCGACATCTGGATACCCAGTTTTCGACCTATTTTTTTTCTTCTGTAAACAGGTTTATTTTTTTACCTATATTCCGTAACATATTCGATTGGTTAAGTTTCCAATTACATGCAGTAAAATGTACACTGAGAATTTTGCCTGGGATTTAATTTACGTATCCAGATTTCGTTTTTAAGGGTCTATGTGGTGATTTTTTCTTATTTCTTCGGCACACAATTTGTGCAACTTTCTACTCCCTTAAATGTATGAAAACTATTTGACATCCCTTTTGATTGAAAAGTGCACTTCTGTTAAACACTTAAAATGTTCCATGCTTTTCCGGACAACTGAGGGCGCTGTTGCTGTGATGTCATTCCAGGAAGACACTGTTCAGTTGAGGGGTTTTCTGTTCAATTAGGCACCCATTATTCAGTCATTGAAAACATTTTTGAGAAGCTCATTGGCTTAATGGCATGTAATGACACACAACAAATACCCAAAGAAAATTTACTTTGAAAAATGTTTTTGATCTCTTCCCCTATTAAGGTGCATATTTTCAAGTCCCACCTCTCGAGAACTACAAGTACAGCTTAGTAAGTCATGGAACTATGTTCAAACATATAATATGCTAAAACAGTACACCATCCTTCCCCTGCCGCCCCCCCCCCCCCCATACATTAACACTTGATTTAAGATATAAAAATACTTTATCGTATTGAACAAGATTGTATTTACCTGGCCGTCCCTCCAACGGCATGTTGTGATAAGTGATATTAACTCGACTTGAACCAACAATGACAGGGCTCTGGCTACCGCTGATTGCCCCGATGCTTCCTATGCTGGCTCCAATTTGTTGTGGGTAATCTACAATCAAAAGCGAGAATTACAATATCCTTCAATTCAATTCAATTCAATAATTAGGGAATAACAGTGTGAGGACCCGGTCTTCACTGCGTGACAAAAAATGTGTGGGGGGATGGCTGCTGTTGAAGGTACCATACAGTCCATCATTTGTAATTTGTGCATTATGTTCATTTGAAGTTTGAAGCAACAAAAGTGCTCAAATCTAAAGAAAGGTGCTGAACAACTAACCTGATGAAGTTTCAGCTCAGTGAATGCTGTATATTCAGAGTTAAACAATATTCTAGGATCTCGATGTCAAATCAAAAGTTGCTGAGTCATGTTTTGAATTATGCCCGAATTCAGCGTTCTCATTTTGCAGCCACGCGATGACACGCACTAAACCGACAAATTATAACTACAGCGCGCGCATGTGAGTCTTGTCAACACTTGCACGTGCTTCACCGAATTAAAAACGAACCACTAATGCAAATTTAGTCCCATTACTATCTTTCACAAGTATGATTTTCAACAACAATTTTGTTAGTTACTTTTTGGATGGCTGCAAATGATGGACTATAGCTTGAATGGATTGAGCCAAAAGAAACAGTTAAAATACTCTGAATTTGTGACTTTCTTTTGGCGATATTTCCAGACTTTTTGTATTCATGTTCAGGGGCCATATTTAGCTTATGCAAGGTACATTTTCTTTTCAAAATGTTTGTTTATTATTTTTGTTACAACCTTCACTCGGGAGGTAACACATTAAATATACATGTAGTTGTTTACAATGTACATGTAGGTCTATATGTTGCGAAGGGCAAAACCTAATATTGGTTTAAAATATTATTAAAATACACATTTTAACATTTGGATATGATCTAGAATTAGTGTCCAAGCAAATGGCAGCCACCATGTGACATAACACATAACTAATGACCCAACAAAAAACTTCATTTTCACCCTCAAAACAGCCACAAATTATCAGACACCCCACCTCAGATACAAGTACTTGAAGTAGAGATTGAGATTAAGATCGAAGTAAGGTTTACTAACGATTTTGATGAAAAGTGACATTGCCCATTTAATCCCAAGAGCTCCCCTCGTCTCTGCTTTGCCAGTCAAACGAATCAACGTGTGTAAATGAATGCAAGGGGAGTTCTCGGAATTGAATGGAAAAATTCACTTTTCATCCAGATAGTAAGTACAATTTGCCATGTGGTGACAGGGGCTAGTCTGCAGTGTGGTCCCCCTTGTTTCAGGGACTCATGCTATGCTATATATTGTGCCTAATAGCGTCAATGCAAAGGATGGAGGGGAAGGATGCTGTCAGGGAACCGATATCAGGGCCAGGGGAGTCATAACATGCAGGGTTTACAGACAATGTATGTGTCTTACCCGGTCTTGGCTGTAGTTGCGGCGGTGGTTGTTGTGTTGGTTCCTGCTGGGAAGGCTGTCTGCTGCCAGACTGAGTCATTTGTTGATCATCCCTCACTCCATCAGCCGGTAGTTGTTGGTTGCAGCTGCCTGACTGGCTGGTGCTGTGCTTGGACCAGCGTTAGTTTGTGTCTCACCCGTCTGGGCTGTAGTTGTGGCGGTGGTTGTGGCATTGGTTCCTGCTGGGAAGGTTGTTCGTTACCAGCCGGTAGTTGTTGGGTTGCAGCTGCCTGACTGGCTGGTGCTGTGCTTGGACCAGGGTTAGTTTGTGTCTCACCCGGTCTGGGCTGTAGTTGCGGTGGTGGTTGTGGCGTTGGTTCCTGCTGGGAAGGCTGTTCATTACTCGACTGAGTGTTTTGTTGATCATCTGGTAGTTGTTGGGTCAGAGCTGCCTGACTGTCTGCTACTGTGGTTACGGTAAGAGCAACCCACAAACCAAATTTGAAGTTCCTAAGTAAAATATTTCTCAAGCATTCGTGCTGACAAAACATGTATTTCTATTGTTTTAGCAATATTAGTGACTTTGACCTAGCTGTTGGCCCCAAAAGCAACAGGCCTCTTTAGACTATCAAGAACAACGGACATCCCACAAACCAGCTCCTACGTAATTATTCTCAAGTTATCACATTGACAAGATTTCTATTGTTTTAGCAATAGTGACCTTTGACCTGTCGGCCCCAAAATCAATATGCTTCTTAGACTACCAAGAACAACCCAAAACCAAATTTCAAGTTCCTTAAGTTAAGTATTTCTCAAGTTTACTTGTTGACAAGATTTCTTTTATTTTACAAATAGTGACCTTGACCTTTGACCTGTCGGCCCAACAGTAATAAGCCGTTTAGACTATCCAGAACAATCCACAAACGAAATGTCAAGTTCCTAAGTAAAGTATTTCTCAAGTTATCGTGCTTAACCAGAGTTAACAAGAGTTTTGTTTATGGTGTAAATTGAGGATTTTCTTTTGTTCCTCTTCCCTTTTCCTTTGTTAGTACCTTAACTTTTCGCAACAGCTCTCATTGGTTTGTACACATTTTTCAACTGAGGAGTCCTCGATTTGGTTTCTGTCCTCGATTCATTGATAATGTTGCGTGTGTCCTTGACTTACACCATAAACAAAATAATGCAGAAAAGACAGACCAGCAGCCGATTTCACAAAATCTTACGTATTGGCGCAACTCTGCTTGAGCCAAAATTTATAGTTGCACAACATTTCACTTATGACACATTTCACGAAAGTCACATAGTGCGTAAGTCCACAAGTTGCACAATAAATTATGATGCAACTTGCACCATCATTTTAGGCGGCCTAAGTTGTGGCATAGCGACTTAAAACGACATATTTTACGAGCAAATCAGGACTGTCACAGAGCTCGTTATTGCACAACTTATCAAGGTTGATACAAGAGGGACAAAATAATTTTCAAAATGGCTGGCTGAGGTGATCCAACAACTGCAAAATTCACACACAAACAGCCGTCGTAAATGCTGCTTTTATCCTCGACCAAGATGCTTAAATTATTTAAAGCGTTGTGCAGCTGTGCCAAGTTTTGTAAAATTGATCATAAGTTTATTGCGCAGCTGCGCAGCAAATTTGTTGCGTAAGTCTTACTCAACATGGCACAAGCTGCGCTTTTTTTTATGAAATTGGCTGCTGCCCATTGTCATGGCGCAACCAACAAAGGGTCTATAGTTAAACCAAATTCAGGATTATATGAAATGCTATAAATTGGACATTTTTGGGATAAGAACATTCAATTACATACCTACATTTGTATTTTTTTTAAATTATGGCAGAGTTTTTGCTTACCGTCACTGAGTCCGATCTCCTGAACGCCCGTTGCCTTGACGTCGCCCTCACTGAACAGCCTCTCAGCCTCCATATCCGACTTGGCTGTGGACTTGGCTAGATTCACCGCTGCAATGTAGTCTAGTGCAGGGGTGGGATTGTCGGAAAATAATCAGCAAATAAATGCACTGCGGATCTGCAAACATTTCAACTCATTTGAATACGTGTTCTGAATTATTTCAAATTAGCTTCAGATTCACATTTGAGATGCTATCAACCTAAATGAGTCGTTTGTTGGCAATTATTATTATCAAGCCCAAAATATTCAGTAGGGGTAAAATTTCAAAATTGACTTTTTTTGTAAAATCGGAAGGCTACATATGTCCTCTTTCATGTCAACTTTTTTTTTTCCTGAGAAAATATCACGATGACGTATCTAAAATGTGACATTTTTGCTGAGAAGTTAATATTCACTAACCTGAAATAAAGCATGTTTATTGTTGTGTAAAAACACTTTAATTTTTAATCGTTGATTTCTCTGTTTGATTTCTCTGTTTCCTTCTTTCTGATCTGCTTGTGTTCTAAGTCCCATAACTTCTGAACCGAAGTCGCATTCACTTGGGGTTTTCACCAAATGTAAACTGAAATGCAGCTCTATTCAAAAAATGTAATTAAAAACAAGTGATCGCATGACATATTTGTGCATTTGGCCTGAAGACTGCTGACCCACCTGCGACCATTTTCTTGTGTTTCTTGTCAATCTTGAGGATTTCTTGGTAAGTCGTAACAGCCGCCTCGTAATCCTTCAGTCCCTGCTGGGCCTTGCCAAGGTGCACCAATGCTTTGACGTTGTTGGGTTCCAACTGCAAGGCCGTCCGGCAGTCCTCCATTGCCTCTGAAAACTTTTCCAATTTGTTGTAAGTCTTGGGGAGGGGGAAATAAGTGAAAAGAGGGGATTCAAATTTGCCGCATAGTGATCAACGAAGCGTTGTGTGTCTCAACAGGATAACAGGTGTGTCGTCTGGGGTTAATCGTCTGCCTTATGTGCAGTACTACTACAAAAACATACATGTAAGATGAGTTGCCCCCCCCCCCTCCCAAAATGATATGTTTTCTCTTAATTTTTTCCCCTTGATATGAAAACTTTTCAGGAAATAAATTAAAACGTTCATGACGTTGCGTATCTCTCTCACAAGCCTTCCCCTCCACTTACCTCTATCCACCCAGGAGTACACATGTAAATGAGTAAGGGTATTAGTTGGGGAGCAACCTACAATGATCCAGGGGGAATAGGAATATTCTCAGTCATTTCAAGAATACGGAGATCTAGGCTCGTAACAGACTTGACTTGACTTGGAGCATGTTTTGACGGCCCTTGAACTGGAACATGTTTCTGATGTCACAGCCGTGACCTGAAACAGGTTTCCTGTGCACCGCGAAAACGACTGACCGAAAAAATTGTTCATGACATCATGTTACTGCCTACGTGACTGCACACAACCCCCCCCCCCCCAAAAAAATCATGCGGCGTCCGGACATGATTAACAATAACATTCAAAGCAAAAGTGGGAGGTTATTTTTAAAGCATTTCCCCAAAGTTCTAAAAAGAGTAGGCCTGATATTCTGTATCAACTTTCGTACCAATTGAAAGTAAAAACCACTATTTAAACCCCATTTATGGTAAAAAGTAACGTCGTCTGCAAGGCTTCTTCACCTTTCCGCCATCTTGAAACGTAAGTGAACCGACCGGAAACCTTGGTTCAACTTTGTTCGAAACAATGACGTTATTTCAGTGTAACCGTAGCGCCAAAATGGCCGCGAACCAGAAACATGTTTACGGTCACAGCGCCAAAACGTGCCCTTGTTTACCTGTGCCCTGTTGGTGTACAGCACCACAAAGTCTTTTAGACGTTCCAGGCCCTGCGTGTAGAGTTTAACGGCTCGTGTGTAATCACCCTTGTTGAACGCTTGGTTCCCTTGATCTTTCAGAACCGTTGCCTCTGCTTTACGCTTCTCTGTGCGCTCGCTGGCGTCTGCTTCCTGGGCTCTCTTGACATTATCTGAAAATAAAGTTGATCACACATTACATAAAAGGACAGAGTTTTTCTACAGTATAATCCCCCGTTAACCCTAAGGCCAAAACAAAGTCTCCAGTTTCTGGTATGGAGCTTGCCCCAAAGTTGTGCAGTGACGCAGGTTGTTTTTCCCCCCACTTTTTTTTTTCTTCAAATGTCAGCTGATATGTTGCAGATGACACTTTATCCCCTTAAAACTCTCTGAAAGATTTTGCAGGATTGAGGCAGTGGTCACCCCTCCAAGGACCACATAAATAACAGAGCATTTTGCAGGATTGAGGCTGTATGCAATTTTTACATGAAAGCAGTTGGAGGATTTTGCAGGACTGAGTTTGTATCCTAGCAAAAACGCCTAGGGAGTTAGGATTAATACAAATACTGCTAATACAAATTCTGGTAATGGGCAATTGAACCTCATGTCAGTATTGAAAAGAGCTTTTAAGAGCTCAGTGAATAAACCCTTACGAAAATGTCCTGTGGTATTACCACACAAAAGTACCACAGGACATTACCACAGGAAAGTTCTTGTGGTTTTTTGGGATATTACCACAGCACTATTCCTGTGGTAACATTCCTGTGGTACAATTCCTGTGGTAACAGTCCTGTGGTACAATTCCTGTGGTAACAGTCCTGTGGTACAATTCCTGTGGTAACAGTCCTGTGGTACAATTCCTGTGGTACCATTCCTGTGGTAATATTCCTGTGGTAACATATTCCTGTGGTAACATATTCCTGTGGTAATACTGCTGTGGTACTTGTGTGTGGTACATTCCTGTGGTAATGTTCCTGTGGTAATGTTCCTGTGGTACATTTGTTATTATTTCTGTGGTAAATGTTCCTGTGGTACGTTGATATTATTCCTGTGGTAAATGTTCCTGTGGTAACTAAATGTTCGTGCGGTGCATTTGTTATCGTTCCTGTGGTAAATTGACCATGGTATGTTTTGTGGCAATGATGCCGAGGGGGGGGGGGGGGGGGGGGGGCAATGTTCCTTTGTTAGTTTCTGCAGTACCTGTTCCTGCAGCTGTGGTATTAATGTATATTTGATAATGTTCCTGCGGTATTAATGTTCCTGTGGTAATTGCTGGATGGGATTCCATTGTTTCCACTTGAACGGGATCCTTGAGGTAGAATATCCATGGTTTCTTCTTCACATGTACCAACATCTTTGGTGGGAATTAAGTCACGAAAGCTGGAAAAGAAAAGAAACAAACTTGTTAGTTTTTATGAATCAATATGGTGTTCAACAAAGGAAAAAATGTTGTAGTTGCAGTTGTAGTTTAGTTGCAGTCAAACTCAAAAACATTTTTGTACATTTCTGTAATATACGTTTCATATTAAAAAAAAAAAATTGAACAGTCAACGTTTGTAATAATACTAAAGAGTGCATGCAACAACTAATCACTTACGTATGGAATATTTGAGGTAACATCCTCTGAATTGATTATTAACTTGTGTGTAATTTACGAAGGAAGAAGTTAAACCAGGAGAGTAATTTCCCATAGTCATGAGCAGATGGTGTTACTGAAATTCGTACAATTAAGTTCCATACTTGATATATAAAGTAATGAGTTTGCATTTAACTTTTACTATCTTAATGTTTGGTATCATTTCATGAACAATATCTTCTTACCCCTTTTAAATTCCCAGTCAAATCACTTGAAGACAAAGTTTTCCAATCTGACACAAAGAACACAAACAGTTTATACTTTTGATGAGGTAGATCTGATAATAAAGATGGCGCTGAACAAATACAGCATTGTCATCAAGTCATATGTGACACGGTTTTATAAAGCATGGGATTTTTCAAAAAAGCTTCCATATTGAATGTGCGAGGATGCAAACTGTCCAGACTGGAATTGATTCTATGAAGTTGTAATGGGAATTCCTAACTGATCCACATAAATGTCTTGAAACAAATTCCTACATTGGCACTAGCTACAGACATCATAATTCAGACTTACCGGTACATTAGACAGCTAGACCATGACGTACTGCAAGACCCATTCAGCATGACTCGATCCACTCGGTCCAGTTTTCATCATCCAGAAAACTTAACATACCTCCTACCATAGTATGTTCAAGCTCACAGTAACACAGTATATTATACTGGCAATTGATCTTTGCTTACAGGCAGAAGTGGGGCGCTTAATTTCATACAAATATTCAGTTTTGAATTCTGCCATGTCCAGCCCCATGCACATCTGTACTGCTTCTTGTATGTAGTGCTGTGATTCAAACTGTACTGGTTTTCAAACTTCCCGCACACTCAGTGCAGTGGAGGAGCTGTGTGGGTGACCTTTCGTGAAACCTGACCCCTGCATGGTTAATACACTGTGTATATGGAATCACTGGTGGGTCATGCATGGGTCACACACTGCACAGGGCACACAAGGTCACACATGTGGTTGTGGGGAACAGGATACAGTGTGCCCTGCAATATACACTGTACATGTACATGTACATGTACTGTATATGTACACATGTACAAGTATGCATGGGCTTTATGTACAAGTACTAGCTGTTCAGTACATATTGGGGCAATATTTGTTCATGTATGTTTTTATGACGGTGTGTTCTTATTTGTGTTTTTGTTATAATTTATGTACACTGTATATTGGATGGTAATCTCTTTTTCTTTGGTAATTTATGTGGTAGCATAAAACATGGTTTTTTTTTTACCTCGCCTAATAGTTACATGTATATGTGCAAATTTTAAATATGATAGTTATAACTTTCATATTATTAAAATGTGCACATATGTAACTAAGGCGAAGTTAAAAAAAACCAAACATGTTTCTCATCCCCGCCCTTTACTATTTTTGGAGGCCGCCTGGATTTTTGTATTATTTTTTAATTTTTAAAAATGCAGTAAAAAAACACAGAACAAGGTTAAAGCATATGCAACCTGTTCATTGTAGAACAATACAACTCTAAATGACTGTAAATATGTTCAGTTCTCTTGTCCAACTTGTTTTTCATTTTAAAAGTGTCTTTGAACAGTGGACTAACACCAACGATTGCAGGAAAGTTTAAAATGGCGGCCATCTTGAAAAAAAATAATAAAAAATAAAAAGCCCCTCTAAGCTAGCTTCCTCCTCAGTTTTTTTTCAAAATTCCGGATGAGAAAATTTTTTTTTTATTCGGCCTAAATATACATTCGGCCTAAATATATCATTTGTGTGTGTGTGGCATTTAGCATATGGTACAACGTAGAAGTACCACAGAATATCGAAGGTACCACACACAATTATGTGGTAATTCCACTGACCTGTGGTAGTTTGTGTGGTATTTAGTAAGTACAACAGAAGTACCACAGGATATCGAAGGTACCACACACATTTATGTGGTAATTCCATTGACCTGTGGTAGTTTGTGTGGTATTTAGTAAGTACAACAGAAGTACCACAGGATATCGAAGGTACCACACACATTTATGTGGTAATTCCACTGACCTGTGGTAGTTTGTGTGGTATTTAGTACAGTTCAACAGACTACCACAGGATATCGAAGGTACCACACACATTTATGTGGTACTCTCATCCAATTCCACTGACCTGTGGTAGTTTGTGTGGTATTTTGTACTACCACAGAATATCGAAGGTACCACACACATTTATGTGGTACTCTCCTCCAATTCCACTGACCTGTGGTAGTTTGTGTGGTATTTAGTAAGTACAACAGACGTACCACAGGATATCGAAGGTACCACACACATTTATGTGGTACTCTCATCCAATTCCACTGACCTGTGGTAGTTTGTGTGGTATTTAGTACAGTACAACAGACTACCACAGGATATCGAAGGTACCACACACATTTATGTGGTACTCTCCTCCAATTCCACTGACCTGGGGTAGTTTGTGTGGTATTTAGTTAGTATGTGGTATGTGCGAGGATGCAAACTGTCCAGACTGGAATTGATTCTATGAAGTTGTAATGGGAATTCCTAACTGATCCACATAAATGTCTTGAAACAAATTCCTACATTGGCACTAGCTACAGACATCATAATTCAGACTTACCGGTACATTAGACAGCTAGACCATGACGTACTGCAAGACCCATTCAGCATGACTCGATCCACTCGGTCCAGTTTTCATCATCCAGAAAACTTAACATACCTCCTACCATAGTATGTTCAAGCTCACAGTAACACAGTATATTATACTGGCAATTGATCTTTGCTTACAGGCAGAAGTGGGGCGCTTAATTTCATACAAATATTCAGTTTTGAATTCTGCCATGTCCAGCCCCATGCACATCTGTACTGCTTCTTGTATGTAGTGCTGTGATTCAAACTGTACTGGTTTTCAAACTTCCCGCACACTCAGTGCAGTGGAGGAGCTGTGTGGGTGACCTTTCGTGAAACCTGACCCCTGCATGGTTAATACACTGTGTATATGGAATCACTGGTGGGTCATGCATGGGTCACACACTGCACAGGACACACAAGGTCACACATGTGGTTGTGGGGAACAGGATACAGTGTGCCCTGCAATATACACTGTACATGTACATGTACATGTACTGTATATGTACACATGTACAAGTATGCATGGGCTTTATGTACAAGTACTAGCTGTTCAGTACATATTGGGGCAATATTTGTTCATGTATGTTTTTATGACGGTGTGTTCTTATTTGTGTTTTTGTTATAATTTATGTACACTGTATATTGGATGGTAATCTCTTTTTCTTTGGTAATTTATGTGGTAGCATAAAACATGGTTTTTTTTTACCTCGCCTAATAGTTACATGTATATGTGCAAATTTTAAAAATATGATAGTTATAACTTTCATATTATTAAAATGTGCACATATGTAACTAAGGCGAAGTTAAAAAAACCAAACATGTTTCTCATCCCCGCCCTTTACTATTTTTGGAGGCCGCCTGGATTTTTGTATTATTTTTTAATTTTTAAAAATGCAGTAAAAAAACACAGAACAAGGTTAAAGCATATGCAACCTGTTCATTGTAGAACAATACAACTCTAAATGACTGTAAATATGTTCAGTTCTCTTGTCCAACTTGTTTTTCATTTTAAAAGTGTCTTTGAACAGTGGACTAACACCAACGATTGCAGGAAAGTTTAAAATGGCGGCCATCTTGAAAAAAAAATAATAAAAAATAAAAAGCCCCTCTAAGCTAGCTTCCTCCTCAGTTTTTTTTCAAAATTCCGGATGAGAAAATTTTTTTTTTATTCGGCCTAAATATACATTCGGCCTAAATATATCATTTGTGTGTGTGTGGCATTTAGCATATGGTACAACGTAGAAGTACCACAGAATATCGAAGGTACCACACACAATTATGTGGTAATTCCACTGACCTGTGGTAGTTTGTGTGGTATTTAGTAAGTACAACAGAAGTACCACAGGATATCGAAGGTACCACACACATTTATGTGGTAATTCCATTGACCTGTGGTAGTTTGTGTGGTATTTAGTAAGTACAACAGAAGTACCACAGGATATCGAAGGTACCACACACATTTATGTGGTAATTCCACTGACCTGTGGTAGTTTGTGTGGTATTTAGTACAGTTCAACAGACTACCACAGGATATCGAAGGTACCACACACATTTATGTGGTACTCTCATCCAATTCCACTGACCTGTGGTAGTTTGTGTGGTATTTTGTACTACCACAGAATATCGAAGGTACCACACACATTTATGTGGTACTCTCCTCCAATTCCACTGACCTGTGGTAGTTTGTGTGGTATTTAGTAAGTACAACAGACGTACCACAGGATATCGAAGGTACCACACACATTTATGTGGTACTCTCATCCAATTCCACTGACCTGTGGTAGTTTGTGTGGTATTTAGTACAGTACAACAGACTACCACAGGATATCGAAGGTACCACACACATTTATGTGGTACTCTCCTCCAATTCCACTGACCTGGGGTAGTTTGTGTGGTATTTAGTTAGTACAACAGAAGTACCAGGATATCGAAGGTACCACACACATTTATGTGGTACTCTGATCCAATTCCACTGACCTGTGGTAGTTTGTGTGGTATTTAGTACAGTACAACAGAAGTATCACAGGATATCGAAGGTACCACACACATTTATGTGGTAAATCCACTGACCTGTGGTAGTTTGTGAGGTATTTAGTGAGTACAACAGAAGTACCAGGATATCGAAGGTACCACACACATTTATGTGGTACTCTGATCCAATTCCACTGACCTGTGGTAGTTTGTGTGGTATTTAGTACAGTACAACAGAAGTATCACAGGATATCGAAGGTACCACACACATTTATGTGTCATGGTAATTCCACTGACCTGTGGTAGTTTGTGTGGTAGTACAACAGAAGTACCACAGGATGTGGCAAATACCACACACACATATGTGGTACTTTTCTCAAATCCTACTGTTCTGTGGTACTTTGTGTGGTTCCTACATGTACCACAAGAATACCACAGGACAGCGTCGGCATTACCACATGAATTTGTGTGGTACTCTGGTCATATATACTTTTCCTGTGGTAATTTCTGTGGTAAACATATGTACCACAGAAGTACCACAGGAATACCACAGGACATTTTCGTAAGGGAACCTGACAATGTATTTTTCAAATCTTCAACATGTACAGCCATTATCTGGTAATGGTCAAGAAGACTACACAGACTAGGAGTTGTGGATCATTTCTCTGAATTGTTATTTAGTTATAATGGTTTATTGGTTTTGTCAAAATTTCACACAATTCGATAAGGGCCGACAAATGACTCATTTAGCGTGATCACATGACTTGTTTGTGCATTTGGCCTGAAGACTGCTGACCCACCTGCCACCATTTTCTCGTACTTCTCGTCAATCTTGAGGATTTCTTTGTAAGTCCAAACAGCCGCCTCGTAATCCTTCAGTCCCTGCTGGGCCTTGCCAAGGTGCACCAATGCCTTGACGTTCTTTGGTTCCAACTGCAAGGCCGTCCGGCAGTCCTCCATTGCCTCTGTAAACTTTTCCAATTTGTTGTAAGCCTGGGGGGGGGGAAATTAGTGAAAAGAGGGGATTTAAATTTGCCGCATAGTGATCAACGAAGCGTTGTGTGTCTCAGCAGGATAACAGGTGTGTCGCCTGGGATTAATTGTCTGCCTTATGTGCAGTACTACAAAAACATACATGTAAGATGAGTTGGCCTCCCTCTCAAAATGATATGTTTTACTTTCTTTTCATTCCCTTTATATGAAAACTTTTCAGGAAATAAATGTAAACGTTGCATATCTCTCACAAGCCATCAGCAATGTGCAAATAGTGCACAGTACTATATACTTCATCCCTTTCCCCTTTTCAGAAAATCGAGCCCTCTTGGCCCCCCCCCCCCCCCCACAAAAAAATGGTTCTGGACCCCCTCCCCCTTGAGAACGGTCACATGTGCAGTCTACAATAATGGTTGTTTACTTCATGAACCCTGCATTGCATATAAATACAACGCGTTGCAAATTATCTCATATACACCACAATGCATATATTACGGGGGCGTGAAGGGTACATGTACCTCGCAACAGAGTACTGCAGCTTTTCAATATCATGTCTGGCACGAGCGAGTTAAAAACCTTTCCAAACAATTGTTGACTGCTGTGATGTGGGATATGTCATGTTTAGCACCCTCTGCTTTACCTGCAGGTGCTATGCCCCCCTCAGGTGTCATGTCCCACATCACAGTCAACAATTGTGCATTTGTCTACCTTTGGGGGAGTGTGGCATAGTGGTTAGGTTTATAGTGACTCATGATCAGAGGGTCAGGGGTTCCAATCCAGCTGCTGGTCATATGGTGTGTCCTTGGGCAAGCCACTTCACCTCCACTTGCCTCTCACCACCCAGGAGTACACGTGTAAATATGTAAGGGTATTAATTGGGGAGCAACCTACAATGAACTGATCCAGGGGGGAATAGAAATATTCTCAGTCATTTCATGAATACAGAGATCTTGGCTCAAACTAGTCCGAGTATTAAACTAGGACTCAACATCAAGATCGTTTTTTTAACATTATTGCCCGACCATGTCCAAATGTTAAAAAAAGCGATCCGTGGAGTCCTAGTTACTCGGACTAGCTCATAACAGACTTGACTTGACTTGCTTACCTGTGCCCTGTTGGTGTACAACACCACAAAGTCTTTTAGACGTTCCAGGCCCTGTGTGTAGAGCTCAACGGCTCGTGTGTAATCACTCTTCTTGAACGCTTGGTTCCCCTGATCTTTCAGAACCGTCGCCTCTGCTTTACGCTTCTCTGCGTGCTCGTTGGCATCTGCTTCCAAGGCTCTCATGACATTATCTGAAAATAAAGTCGATCGCATGTAACATAAAAGGACAGAGTTTTCTACAGTATAATCCCCCGTTAACCCTAAGACCAGCATTGGAACGCAAAGGCGCGCGCGGTTGCTACAATTCGTCGGATCAGTGCGCGACATCGCGTCAAGCTGCAATTCAAAACAATATGAAACATGATTTAGCAACTTTTGATTTGAAATTGAAATCCTAGAATGCTGTTTTTCTCAGAATATAAAGCTGAAGCTGAGCTGAAACTTCATCAAGTAAGTTGTTCAGTATCCTTCATTAGATTTTGAACACTTTTGTTGCTTCAAACGAACAAAATGCACAAATTACAAATGATGGACTATAGCTTTAATAGAGCACTGGAACGGTGATTCAGAGGTTCTCTGTTCAAATCTTATTTTAGTGAATTTCTTAACCAATCTGCTTAAAAAAAATTCAAATATAAAAAAAGAGATACGACTTTTTCGTCAACGTTGCTGGGCAGAAAGCACCGGAAAAACTAATAAAATTAAAAACTCATTCTGATTGCGATTGATTGCTGTGTCTCAGATCAAAATTAGAAATACGCTGACTCATCAGGGGATGGGTAGCAGGAATGTCTTCAACTGCTGGTGAATATGTCCCTTCTAAAATGGAAAAAAAATGAAAACAGGTTGGTCTCCAACCCAACCACTGCCAGCTTTAAACACTTTTTATTACTGCAAGCTGGAATGAATGCCTCCAAGCGAGACAGGATCATTACAATCTTGAAACTTTGACAAATCCACTGTCTGAAAAAAGGCTGTGTCACTCACCTGAAGCGTGGGGAGGCTCAACATCCAATTTTCTTTCTGAAATAAAATAGTATGAAATTTTTATGCATTTGCCTTTACAGTGTAAATACCACTGCACTGTGAAAAGAGGTACTGACAAATTGAAAAAGGACACAGGACATAATATCTTAACTAAATGTTTTGAAAACACTAGTGCATGATTTCGGGGACAAGAGATAAACCCAAAGTTAATAATAATAACCTGATTATAATGCACCTGGTCAGTTTCCCTTCGTGATTCATTTGAAAATTAGTAACAAAAAGCCGTATCCTCTCTGAGTGATTCCGGTTTGCATTTTCCAGGTCTGAGGACCTTTTCTTTTTTATTTCTCTCAGTACTGAGGCCCTCGGTTTAAATGCCAGTTTGAAATTTGCAGAGCCGCAACGAAAGTTGAACATCGGTCCAAACTTCAACGGGTGGATCTTTATTTCTTTTAGGTGGCAAGGATTTAAGCGTTAACTGTTAGAAGAATTGTAATGAGTCACTATTGGTTGTGGTATTGTGTAGTACCGATGCTCCGAGTAATTCACCATGGGGTGAGGGGGGCAGGTCACCAGTGCGGTCCCCCTTGTTTCAGGGACTCTGCTACGCTATATATTGTGCCTAATAGCGTCAATGCAAAGGATGGAGGGGAAGGATGCTGTCAGGGAACCGATATCAGGGCCAGGGGAGTCATAACATGCAGGGTTGACGGACAAATGTTTGTGTCTCACCCAGTCTTGGCTGTGGTTGTGGCGGTGATTGTTGCGCTGGTTCCTGCTGGGAAGGATGTCCGCTGCCAGACTGAGTCGTTTGTTGATCACCCCTCACTCCATCAGCCGGTAGTTGTTGGGTTGCAGCTGTGCTTGGACCAGGGTTAGTTTGTGTCTCACCCGGTCTTGGCTGTAGTTGTGGCAGTGGTTGTTGCGTTGGTTCCTGCTGGGAAGGTTGTTTGTTACCAGCCGGTAGTTGTTGGGTTGCAGCTGCCTGACTATCTTGTGCTGTGCTTGGACCAGGGTTAGTTTGTGTCTCACTTCGTCTTCGGGCTCTCTTAGCCGGTGGTTCTGCCATTTAGCGCTGATAATGTGGGCACAGTTTAGTTACAGACAGCTTCGGTAGTTCAACCCGGCATAATCCTGTGAGTGCAAAGTACAATCAGGTAAAATCACATAATGGATGCTGTTGGTCGGTCGGTCGGTCGGTCGGTCGGTCCATCGGTCAAACGGTTGGTCACTATGTCAGTTGGTCGATCAGTCGATCTGTCATTCAGTCGATTGTTTGGTCCGTGTTCTTATTGCAGTGCTCAGTTAAATATTACAAGCTACATGTATATAAGACAACAGGAAAAAGCTGCACTTAAATTTTTTCAATTGGCCAATTGTTAGGCCTACTCAATAAATATTGTTCTGATTCGAAAGACTTTACGCACTGGCAAGGGCATCAATCGCTTCTCAAAAGTGGGTGGGGGGGGGGACAAACCGGAAAATCTGAGGCAATTACTTGATGTTAACAAATTCGTTTCAGCAAAAGATTTTCATTTTCGAGTTTGGAGTAATTAAATCAGCTATTCTGAGCTATAAAATCAAATGCAGGCCTACAAGTTTTATTCGGGGACGAAAAAAGTGATGGGGTGGGGCAAATGATTTGATACCCCCACTTTAAAAAGTGGGGGGGGGGGGGGGATGGGGGGATGGGGGGACATACATGTAACCGTGACTGCGCATGACCGCGCAGTAAATGTTCCAACAAGTCAGAAGTTAAAAGTGTCCATGAACACAAGGGGAGCTCCTGGAATTGAACGGGAAATTTCACTTTTCATCCGCATCGTAAGTTAACCACGTACCTCGATCTTAACCATCGATCTGTACTTGTATCTCAGGTTGTGTAGGGCCTATCTACATGTAGTTATTTTGTGACCACCACTCATCTATACCACCTTGTAGCCGGGTACACAGATACAAAGTCACGCTTGACTGCTCACCCACAATACGCGTGAACTTCCCACTCCGTATCCCTGTTTTTGCGTAGCCACTCCAGGTGACCTACTTTGGACTGTTTTTCATCTTTCCCATTCAATTGACGCAGTAAAGGGAGGATTTAAAAGGAGGATTTTTTTAAAGGGAAAATAGCGCCCTCTTGCGCCCCTCCCAACTCAAACCCACTCCATATCCGCGTAAAAAATATACTTTTAAAAAAAAAATTGAAAATAAACATATACCAAAATTTGGGGAAAATATATGGCGGCTATTTACGATTTATGCAAATTATACATCCTTCCCAAAAGAATTGTAGGTGTCACTTCTTCTAAGTATCTTCTCTAGGGCTATAAGAATCAATCTGCCAAGTTTGGTGCTTTGGACCAGTTGGTCACGATCTTGTCAACAATTGGGAAATCCCTTTAGATTTGGGAGATTCTACTGACAAAATTTGACTCTGATGGTCTTTGCTCAGATCGACTCCAAATTGACACAGAATAAGGTCACATTTGCGTTGACAAGTGCCGTCATGGGCCATGTGACGTCATCGTAAATGTGCCTATTTTCATCATAAATGTGCAAGTCCTATAGAACTGTAGCATTAAAACTGTGCATGTCTATAGACTGGAATGTGTTAACTGTTATAGATGAAAATCGAGATGACGTTATGGTGCCATCATCATGTGATATTAGATAATTTCTGAAATTTTGAAGATTATCGCCATATTTCACCAACACAACATGCTTAATTCAAAATTCTTTTTGTAATAGGTTTGTTAGGTCATTGATATGAAAAACGTGTGATGCCATCATGAAAATGTGAATTTTTAAAACAAACATACGGGTAGGTCCAATCGTCATGAAACTTGGTGGAAGGCAGATAATAGTATGCAAAATTTGAAATGACGTGAAGATGACGTCATCAACTGATTTTAATAAATGTGAAACTTTTCTTTGTGGGTAATAGCAAAACTTTAAAGTATGAATTTAATACAAGAACATATCAATTACATGACTAGGCATTGCCATCACTTCACACTTTGCAATAAAGCAAAGTGTTATTTCTACACTTGTAAGCTAGCCTTAACCTCATCCAAAGCAACTGACAGTGTTCTTACCCCTATTAAGTTCCCAGTCAAATCACTTGAAGACAAAGTTTTTCTACTTTGATGTAAAGCGCACAAACAGTTGAGGCTTTTGACGGGGCTGATCTGGTAAAGATGGCGCTGGACAAACACAGCATCGTCATCAAGTCGCGTGACATGGTTTATATATAGAACTTGGGATTTTTGTTTTGCTGCATACATGTACGTCACACGTACCGGTACAGTCTGTTTATCTGTTTATCTGTGTACATACTGTATTTACTTGACACTTGAGTTTTAATTTGGACCTTAGATACAGATAGGTCCATGCACTGATTCTATCTACAGGTGACACTTGAGTTTTGGACCTTAGATAGGTTCATGCATTCTATCTACATTATGTACAAAATGCACTTTGTTAAATTTCAATGGCATACACCTCAGCATCCATTTAATTCCACTTTTGTATTTTTAACCCTCAAATAAATGCCCTATAATATTGTAAAAATCTTGCTTGAACCCTACACATGAATTGCAGTTTCTAGGGTTTGCCATAAATTCAAATGAAATGGAAGTCCGGCATCCTATTGAACCAATTGTGAGGTTATGTCATTCCTTAGTTACCCAAACATGGCCGACTGTGCAGTTTGTCGCTCAAGTAATTTGGAAACTGGTTCCTTGCTTTCCAGGAGTACAATTGGGTCCCTTGTCTTACAGGAACCTTGAAAACAGTATTAGATACAGCACTTAAGGAAAACGGAGGAATTTTCACACCAAAATGTCATTGATAAAGAAGCAAGAATTGAATTAAAATGCAGTGGTGGGTTTCCAGTTTGCCCTCTGCATCTCGTTATATTTTGCCTCAAGTGAGCAACTTGCAGATTTATAGAAACGGATGCATCCAATAGTGCATGGGGAGCCTAATGCCTCGCAATTAATCTTAAAACTAATGGAAGATGGACTGCAAATGAAACCAATTTCATATCAATTACTGTACCTTGAGCTGTTTTCTAGTATGGCCTTTGTTCATTTGTATCGCATGTTGAAGGTAAACCCATATCCGTATCAATGGATAAGACCACTGCAGTAGCGTGTATATAAATCATATGGGTGGATGCCATTCATTGGAACTAAATCAGTTGACTGAGAGAATATGGCTGTGGTGTGTAGAACATGACTATGGTTAATTTCACATCATATTCCGAGTGTCAATAACACCATGGCTGATTCCTTATCACAGTCATTTAATGACAATCATGAGAGGCAACTCAACCCTCATGTGTTTTGCCACATTATGTTGTTTTGAGATTTTAAACCGACCATAGATCCGTTTGCTTCTAGAATAAACTGCCAAATCAAATCTTTTGTATCTTAGCTGCCAGTTCCACAGGCAGGAACTTGCAATGCCTTTCAGTGCCATGGGAAAATGAACTGATTTATTGTTTTCCGCCATTTTCTCTAATCGACAGAGTCTTACAGAAGATAGAAATAGACAGGAGTGCTCATCCTCCCCTTCTGGAAAACACAGCATTGGTTTCCACGGCTACTACGTCTATTGACAACAGAGCCAGTTGTACTACCCAAGACCAAGACACTTCTGCGTCTACCTCACGACCCACAGCGTCAACATCCACTAGCAACCAGCCTAGTGCTGTGTGTGGCACACTTGTCAGGAGTCCTCTCATTGCGAAAGGACTTTCAGAGGAAACAATCGAGATTATCATACAGTCCTGGAGAATCAGAACACGTAAACCGAACAGTTCAGCATAATGCAATAATTCCTGGATCCACCCCTGCTGCGTTACCAATAACAAGTGTGAGTGCAAGCTCTGGCAACAAATGTGACCATACATTTGGTCAATTTTGATATTTCCTCCTTCTGGACACTGTCCAACCGCTACACAAAATACCACGTGACTATAGCATTACTGTACATACTTTGCCTTCATTTACAAACTTTTTTTATAAACATCTTTCCAAATTGTTACAAACAATTTTTGTTAAGTATTTTATTTGCCTTTTCATTTCATTTCAGGTTGGTAGTTATTTTTTTATGGGAAACTTAGGGGGCTTATTTTGATCAATTTTCGGGGACAGACATAATGCAAAATAAACATGCATGCACATTGATTGAAACAAAACCGGTGTTCCGAAAACTTTTGGCAAGAGTGCATTTTATGACCACGGCATGGCATTTGGTCAATTAGTCAATTTGTTTTGGTCAAATTTTTTTGGGTCAATTTTCGGGGACAGACTGACCGACCGAAAGACAGACAGACAGACAGACTGACCAACCACCAAGTGACATGTAGAAGCTCCTGCCAGAGCTTAAAAAACTTACTAGCAAACCAACAGAATGTTAATTTGTTGACCTCTTTTTGTAGTTTATGGTCATTTCATGGCAAGGGATCTTCTGTGAGAGAATCCACCCTACACAATGCAGGGTTTTTAAATTTGCCATCAGTGTTCTTTTCTTGTAATGTGGGTTACCGATAAAAAAGTAATTGGCAAGTAAAAGTATGACAGACTGACAAATAAACCTAAGGAAAGTTAAAAACAAAGTAATTTTCCTACCTACCAACCTGGATAATTGTTAGGATGTTACTGTTAGATTTTCTATTGTTCCTCTTTGCTTTTCCTTTGTTTATTCCCCTAACTTTTTTGGAACAGCTCCCAATCGTTTTGTACACGTTTTCTAATTGAGGTCATCCTCGATTTTGGTTCCTGTCCTCAATTCATCAATGATGTTGCACGTGTGTCCTCGATTTACACCAGAAAGTTTATGGCATAAACACACAAATATTTTCAGCCTAAGTGAACCTACCATGATACAGGTCTTGACACACATCCATGGCTTGGCCGGTGTCAATTCTTGCTGTCCTCTTTGGAAGTTTGTGGCCATGAACTTCCTGTATGCATCTTCATTGGTCTCTGCAAGCTCATCCAGCATTGACCAAAAGCACTGTGCCTGCTTCATCAGGTCATGTTGGACGCCTGTCACCATACTAAAATTGGAAAAGACAGGAGGACAATTTTGAAAATGGCGTCTGCACGATATTCGCAATGGAGCCCTTGCTGATAAATGGTAAATTTCACTTTTCATACAGATTGTAAGTAAAGCTTAGTATCTCGATCTTAAATCATAAATCTGTAATTGTATCTCAGGGGGCGTAGGCCTATGTAGTAATTCTGTGGCCGTATTGAGGGTGAAATCTGATGTTTTTGTTGGCAAATGGTTGGGTTGTTAATTATTTGAAACGCCATGTTAGTACTATCACCAGATCATGTCCAAATGTTAAAAATAATGCAGGGGCTATACTGTCACTGTTGCGGCAATTGCTATCGTTACAGCATTGTCTGGCTCCCTGGCCTAATAGTAAATGTCCTTCGTACAACTGCATGTGCGCACATCACATGACAAGGATTAGGGTCTGTGGATGGACAGTTCGCCACACGCATGTAAAATCATAGCGGGGTACCAATGAAATCAAAGTAAAGTTCTTGTTTTGAAGTAGATGCAAAATGTTCCCAGCTAACACATAACGTTTTCATAACGTTCCTGGAAAGTTACCTTCGGTAACGTTCTGTAAAAACGTCCCCTAAACGTTACGCAGACGTTTGAAAGAAACGTTACATTGTAACAATTGTAACACGTTCTGTAACAACGTCCGCTGAACGTTATGCAGACGTTTGAAGGAAACGTTTCATTGTAACAATTGTAACACGTTCTCTAAAACGTCATTTGAACGTTATGCAGACGTTTCAAAGAAACGTTTTATTATAACAATTGTAACACGTTCTCTAAAAACGTCATCTGAACGTTATGCAGACGTAAGAAAGAAACATTACATTGTAACATTTGTGACACGTTCTGTAAAAACGTCAGTTGAACGTTATGCGGACGTTTGAAAGAAACGTTACATCGTAATAATTGGAACACGTTATTTAAAAACGTCACCTGAACGTTATGCAGACGTTAGAAAAAAATGTTGCATTGTACCATTCAAACAATGTTATCAACAACGTCTGAATATTATTTTACGGACGTCTAAATGGAACGTTTTACTGTAACGTTCTGATAACGTTCCAAAAACGTTGATATCGACATAAGACACAGAATCATTTATTTCACAATTTGAACGGCCATCTTGTTTCAAAACTCCAAATCATCAAGACGCCAAAATTTAACAAGACGGCCGTTCAACTCATCAGTATCGTAGTATTTTTAAGTCAGTGTCGAATGTACTAGAAAAATGGTCCCGCGCTCGCATCGTGTCACCGCGTACCAGCTAGCTGCGATGGTTCCCACACACACTCATCGCCATCGCGATGTAATGGAGTGCTCTACCCGGTACCCGCCATACAAATGTACTGTTGGAGAACCAGCTGAGACGACGTTGCACATTATATGCATGCAAGAAGCGCGGTGAATTAAATTGTGAAAGTGGATTGTTCGATTGTGATGCGATGTCTGATAATTATCTTGTCATATCAAACACATCCTTTCAGCGCCTTCACAACAAAGTAAGTAATCTAAAGCAAGATTGTTTATACCACATGTAGGACTTTTTATTTTTACATTCCACGTGCTTCTTATAACAGTTTTCTCAGTCATGAAATTCAGGTACATGTAGGTCAGTATTAAACTCGGGGGTGTCGGAAGCTTCGCCCCATTTCCACGTCGCCCCATGTCACTTCGCCCCTAACCACTTCGCCCCATCCCCACTTCGCCCCATCCCCACATCGCCCCATCTCCGCTTCGCCCCATCCCCACTTCGCCCCATCCCCGCTTCGCCCCATCCCCACTTCGCCCCATCCCCACTTCGCCCCATCCCCACTTCGCCCCATGTAGTATAAAAAAGGAAGGCTAGGGGTGCAGACCAAATAAACTGCCAAAGACCCCAGATAATAAATGCTCCCAATTCTAGAAACTCAGGAAAAATACAAACTCTCTGATGAGGTGCTCGAGACACAGATGAGAGAAATGATGGCTTAAATAAAATCATCAGCCGCTGGATTCAAAAGAATCCCGTAGGTATGGGTCAGTGAGTTCAAAGGAACTCACTGCCTTGAGGAAAATGTTCCGTCAAAATTTGTCTGATATGTGAGACTTACAACTTCATTGATGAGATTGGTTCCTCCAAGAGTGAAATTAGGATGTCAAAGGTATTGTCGTTCTCAGATAAGTGGGAGACGGGTTGGTATAGCCGGGTTGGGAACAAAGTTGGATCTTTTACTTCAAGCTTTTTTCTCGGTAGGGGAGAGCCTAGCTTGAGAGGTTGGTTATGAATTGTTCATTTGGTGATGGGCTAATTCTTTCCGTTGGTTAGCAATTAGTGAATCTATTGAAATAGTTTTTTTTTAAGCCAAAAAAATAGATGAGATTTTTTTTTTTACATGTAACGGCTGGGGCGAAGTGGGGATGGGGCGAAGTGGGGATGGGGCGAAGTGGGGATGGGGCGATGTGGGGATGGGGCGAAGTGGGGATGGGGCGAAGTGGTTAGGGGCGAAGTGACATGGGGCGACGTGGAAATGGGGCGAAGTGTCCGACATTCAAACTCGGCATAGGCTAAACGTGCCCAACGTGCCGAATATACATGCTGGTTAAATTTCATGGATTTTTCAACCACAAAAACAATTGTGAGTATCATTGAAGCCCCATTACTTCGTCTTTGATACGTGTGGAAGCCAGTAAATGATTTGAAAGGTATTTTGGCAAGTATTTTGCGTGATTTTTTTCCAACATCATGAGTAGGCCTAGCTAGGCGAGTAACTCCAGCTGACATGTTCCATATTCATTCACATGTAACGCTGGAAGAATAACCTGTTCGTTAGAATGTGGTAGCAAGAGACCCTAAAAAAAGGCCTCTCCAAAATTGTCCAACTTTCACCTCTTTATCTAGCTGGAGTTACCCAGCCCTAAATTTTTTCATTGGGTTGTCATTTAGGGCTGGAGCTAATTTTTCACGTAACCCAGCAGCGTAGGCAGGTCCTAAATTTTTTTTTTCAATTTTGTCCCCGTTACACACTAATTGCAACTGCAACTCACCCCAAACGTGCCTGGAATAACCATTACACAGGTACTTGAAGTAAAAAACGATCCACGATGAAGATTCAGCCTACAATTGCAGTGAAAAAAGGAGGAATAACCGCTAACCTGACAACCTTGCAGGCATGGCCAGGACCGCAATTGGTTTGTGCACAAAAAAAATTGTGTACAATGAATGGCGGTCGATTACCAGGCACAGCGCGCTGTCAACTAGTCGTTTTTGCCGGCTGCGCTGGCTGTTGGCGCATGACGTCACGCGGAAGCGTAACACCCAATGACTGTTTCATGCACTAATATGAGGTTTACCACTCGCATCACAGCTGCGGTACTGGAACCGCAACAATAGTGCATGAAACAGTGGGTTTTTTTGGGACCTGCCTACGCTGCTGGGTTACGTGAAAAACTAGCTCCAGCCCTAAATGACAACCCAATGAAAAAATTTAGGGCTGGGTAACTCCAGCTATCTTTTATCCCACCCCAGAGTTCATTTACATACCTCATACATTCAGCAGTCATTTACGAAGCCTAATCATGCTAATGATCGACTTGAAACAGACCACAAAAAAGAGTGAAAAATCTTGACGATTTCGGTGGCTTGTCCGTAAAAGATATGCCAGTTCCAACGGTTGTCTTCCATTTTGTTTTACTAATTATGTAAATGTATGCATCACGTGATGACATAAAAAAAATCTGCGCGCGCGATATATGTGGGTACCACACCACTTTCAGGTGCTGCAAGTGAGTTCAATTTTCGTCTGGTGCGTTGTCGCGGAAAGCAAGACAACGAGAATGCCCTCCACGGCAATGCACCAGACGAAAATTGAACTCACTTGCGGCGCCTGAAAGCGGTGTGGTACCCACATACATCGCGGGCGCAGATTTTCTTTGATGTCATCATGTGATGCATACATTTACATAATTAGTAAAACAAAATGGAAGACAGCCGTTGGAACTGGCGTTTTTTACGGACAAGCCACCGAAATCGTCAAGATTTTTCATTTTTTTTTTGTGGTCTGACTGAAGTGCAACTATTAATAGTTGTTAAGCTTTCACAACAACCTTTGCTTTAATGTTTTAGATCAGAGCCTTCATGTCAAATTAGACATGATTTTGGACAACCAAAAAGAGGAGTTGTGCCTCTTGAGGAAAGTGGCCAGGCTCCGAGCTCCTGATGATGAGGACATCGAAGAATTTACTCCAAAACCTCTGGAAACTGTCGCAGAACTGGAGGACCTATGTGAAAAGCTGAATTCTCCTGAAGAGGCCAACTTCAAAAACAGATGGTAAATTGCTGTCTTGTAAATTCATGTATTTTTCTTAAACCCAGAGGGCCTCCGGGAGCAGTTGATATATGACCGAGGGACATTTGTTTTATAGGTATTTGCTGATGTTTGTTACTTACGAACCCTGAGGAAGAGACACAAGGACATGTTAAGCTGCTGTCGGCAACTAAAAATTCAAACTTAAGCATGACTGATGTGAATAGTTTTGGTAGTTCACTCCACCGGCTGTGTCACTCACACTTGTAGCATGTATTTACGCCACACAATTGTCTCATTGTATATTTTTCCTTCAGATTCGTCACTTTTCTTCCATGGGAGGCTACAACCTTGGCGAGAGTGTCCGCCGCATGCTACGCAGGCTAGGGACAAATATGCTGTGGTCCCTTTACAGCTACAAGGGACGAAAGGGACGAAAGGGGAAAAGAGCTCTGAGCGATCTTCAAATCTCCCGGGTGTTAATCAGTAAGCTGCGTTTATTTGATTTCCTTGAAATTTCTTTAAGTACATGTAAATTCATTCATTTTTTTTCAAGAAAGAATTTTTTTTATAAAGTTCATATATCAGATGCCAGTTATTGAAAATTATTAAAATGTTGACATCTTCTTCAACCGTTCTTGTAGAAGCCTGTCTGAGTGCCCACCCAAAAAGCCGAGTCTTGGAAATTGAAGAAACCATCCAAGAGACTCTCAAGTACTGCCCAAACCGAAAGGGTGGGGCAAAGTACAAGGTACGTTTCTCTTGTTGCATTTTCAGTTTTCACACGCATAAAGTCTAGTCTTGTCAAAACACAAATGTTAAGTGACTCCGAGTGAAGGGAGGAATATTATTGAAAGGCAAAATCTGTACTTCTCCATTTCCTAAGGCGAAGCGGAGTGAACTGGGAAAAGAAAATCCAGATTTTACCGAGCGATAATGTTCCTCCCATTTCACAATTTAAAGCCGCTCAATGTTTGTTTTATATTATTGACATTTAGATCCTTGTCATTTGATATTTTAGAAATCTCATTTCAACATGAAATTGGTAAAACAAATGTCTTTCTGTCTTCCAAACCATCCCTTCATGAAAATGTTTGAACCCAGCTACTGTCGCGCTGGCTCTTTAGGACAATACATGCTACGTGCATTGATGAACGCGCACACCAGCATGCATTTGCACTAATACCGCGGCATGGAACAAAGATGATCCTATAACTGTCAAATAGTATTTCCCATTCCCCATGGGCGAATGGGAATTTTTGAGCCCCGGAGGGAATGGGAGTAATTAACGAATATCACGTGATGTGAGTTCCACCAAGCAAATGACAAGGATATGTATGTCAGGATATATAATACAACTTAATCAGCTCTACAGTGCCAGTTTATTGTGTATTTACGAGAGTCGACTGTGCACATTGGAATTTGGTTGATAATACTTTAGCTTGAAAACAAAAACTATCCTGACAGTCAATAAAACGTGTTCACTTTTTGGCATGTCCATTGTTTTGTATTGTTCTTCTGTTGGTCAAATACATGTACATGTACACGTATAACATATACATGTAGAACACTTGAATATTGCCTACTTTGATTTCATGAAACGTATTACTTCAACCAGATATGATGCATTTGAAACACTGCGAAAAAAAAACCGGACTGTACTTTTCATTGACCGCAACTGTCCGCTCTGGCTACAAGTACCTCCCCCCCCCCCCCCCCCCCCCTACAAATTTAGACAAGAGCTGCTGGTAGGGAAAATTTCAACTTGCTGCATTGTGCACGGGCAAAGACTAACTGGCGGCATGTTGTCACCAAGTCCAACGCCAAACATGTATGAACCTATGCACACACTAGGAAAGGGACGTTGTTACTATGTAAAAAAAATGCAATCTTTTGTTCCTGCAAGAAGCGGATTGGGTAAAAAATTATTATAAGTTTCCAAAAATGTCAGGTTTTCTTTTGGTGTCTGTTTTTTGTTGTATTTATTCTGATGTTTGAAAAGTTCATTTATCTTTTAACTTCACAGAATCCTGATGCCAACACGATCGCAACACCAGATGAGGCCACCACCGACTTTGATGACTAGCCCAACTGAAAATGATTGGTAACAACACCCCCCCCCCCCAAAAAAAATAGATAAAAGATTAGAATATATTTGAGCTTCCAAACCTGAAACAATCTTGCCAAAAAGTGTTCATGTATATGTTAAGTGTGCTAATCTACTTCTTCCTCAATAAGTACATAATAGCACATAAAAGATGGTGCTACATTATTTACTCTAATACTTGGGAGAATTAGGATATATTTGGGCTTTCAAACTTAAACCAACTTGCCAAACAGTATCCATGTACGTGTATAGTATGGTGTGCTAATCTACTTCAATATATGACTACTATACATCAAATATATTTGGGATTCCAAACCTAAAACCAACTTGCCAAACTGTGTTAAGTGTGCGGATTTACTTCTTCCTCAATAAAAAAAATCAGACATAAAAAAATGTAGTGCTCCATTTTTCTTACTAGGACAAATATATATATTTGGGCATTCAACATTGACTCATTATACTACGAAGTAAAAGGTAGTTTCGCTTTCAAACCCAAAACCAACTTGCCAAACAGTGTATATTTTTACAGGTGGTAATTAAAAAGTTAGTGAAGATGTTTGTCTGGACATAGTTGTTAAAACGATATTAGTGTTATTATTGGCCTTTATGAAAAATGTACATTGTATTATTGTATTTGTAATTTGTAGTTGTTTGAGATATACATGGAGATTAATGAACTATGAATAAGCATGCATGACCTGCGAACTTTAACACACTTAAGCAGTATCAATCTCCGATTAGTAGCCTATGACGTAGTAACCAAATTTGACATCATTTTGAAAGACGTTGAATGGCCTCCATTTCATTAAATAAATTCAAAAGTGGGAAAGAATTTAGTATCCTGACGCCATCTCAGCGGTCATCTATGGAGAGTCAAGAACATGTATTAAGTGTTTCCTAGCAGAAGTGAAAATGTTTCTCAGTTCCGTTATGTTTCTCAGACCTATCGAGATGATACATGTACCTGTATATGAAGAAAAAAGTGGAGTCAGATTGAAACATTCTGTCCATTAAGGACCATGAAGCATTATGTGTTATATGTTTCTGCATGAATTGCAAAAAGAAAGAGCATCGTAGTTAAGTTCTCTTTTGGATTCGTATAAGTGTTTGAAATACACACCTTTATAACACGGTCGATGTGACTTTACAAATTACATTGTTATATAACAAGTACTTTGTATTAGCAGTATTGGAAAACAAACTGTTGGGCCTAATATTTTGCTTGTTACATAAGCGGAATGTATCAGGGGGCTCTTCTTATCAGGGTTCAACTTTAGTTGTTATATAATAAAAACGTTAAATAAAATGAGAAATAAAATGGCTGATAAGTTAATTCAGTTTGTTGTATTTGTCTTTTTTCATTACTTTGTCACAGTGCACATAACCTTCCTGTGAAGGTTGTACGAATGTTATTTCGTAACGTTTTTTTGTAACGTCCTAAGAACGTCAAGAGAACTCTACACATTTACGTTCCCATAACGTTATTTTCAAACGTTCTGGGAACATTACCGTAACGTTATGAGAACGTTTTTGCAACGTTTTTTGGTTAGCTGGGTTGCTTGTTTAACCACACCATGGTTTAAGATGGTTTGTATTGATCATGTGTATCTGTGTATGCTCCAACTTTTGTGCAAAAAAAATTCCATCTTCTTTTTTACTACTGTATCACTATCAGGAAAGAATTCCATTGTACATACATGTATGGATTTATCTAATTTTAATAGGAACAGGGTCCTGAAGATAACGATGATTACCGAGACTACTGACTAATACTAAAAATAAAATTCAGACTTTATTTCCCTTTAAAAAAAAATCCTCCAAAGCCTCAGGTTAGAAAAGGAAAACAATTGGAGTGCAAAACTGAGATGCGAACCCACGACCTCGCGGTGCAAAATCCTAGGCCTACTCTGTATCGACTTAGCTCTACTGAGTGGAGCGTTGAATTATGGGTACCCCTCCATACAAACGCTCCACCGATTTGCCATACTTTGGTGACGGCGTCACAGTAGCATAGCCACAAACCCACGCGAGGACAAAAAGACCCCCCCAAAAACCGGTAAAGAGAATACAAATGAGAGAGACAGTTACCCTGGATTGATCTACACATTCATGACATTCCTTCAGACCCCTTACATTGTTCCCAAACAGCGAAAATTTTGAAGAAAAACAGCAAAATAGTCTGAAAACTTACAGCTCAATGTGTTGTGTTCGCCGTGAGGCTCAATCCTTGCACCGGTTTGCCGAATGAGGGCGTCTGACGTGACGTCACCGTCGTTGCTTGATCGAAGAAAAACAAGTCGAGCTTTATCAACGACTGTGTAATAATAATACGTGCTCCGATCCGCGCCGTACGACAGTATGGGCTTTAAACACGCAAGGTGGAGACGGCTGAAATGTATTTTAATAACAATGGGATTTTCATTTGTCAGTAGGCCTATTAGCATGGAGGAAGGAATTAGTAGTTCTTTGATACAAGTTTCATGTGGGTATCTGACGTCATTAATTTGTTTTTAATTTAGAACGTGTACGCTTCAGCCGTGGGTTTGTGACTATGCTACTGTGATGCCGTCACCAAAGTAAGCCAAATCGGTGGAGCGTTTGTATGGAGGGGTACCCGTAATTTAACGCTCCACTCAGTAGAGCTACTAGTCGACTGAGCTGTCGCACTGCTCGCTAAAACGTGGGAAAACAGATAATTAAATATCTGCGTGCGTATCAATAAAGTATCGTAGAGGGCGCTAAACAACGGCTGCCGTAACGATAGCCACTTCGGATTTTCAAAGTATTCAGGTAGGCCTAGTTTTAGGCCCTATTTGTTCACCAAATTGGAAATGATTCTCAGTCCCAGATAGATTCATGTCTTTTAAACACTTTTGCAATGACTGACCTTTATTGAGATGATATATGAAGAAAATGTGGCGTCAAGTTGCAACGTCTCTCCAAAAACGTTCCCTTTCTTGCTGAACTTTCATATCTGGAGTTACTGATCTCGATTAGTTTCACCTGCAACTGCAAATATACTTTTGTTTACGAATCGACCAAGTTGACAGGCGCCCTCTCTAGTTGGACGTGGAAATCTTACGTTCTGAGGGCGCCCTTCTCAATTAACGGTAGGTTACGGGTGCAACCATAGACATAACGACCACGACACTAGTGCTAAATGCCCATATTTCTAAATTCTTTTTAAAATACTCAGAACTATCACATGTATTTAAGCTGCACAGAGAAATGACGATCAATATGTCATCTTTTATTTCCTTTTCAATTTTTGGTGGGTTGACCATTGACTTTTCGAGAAATTCTCACTCAAAGAAGACGACCCCTATTTTTCCCAAAGAAAAGTAGCCATATTGAAAAACGATCCCTCAACAACATAAAATAAAAATCGCCCCACTTTCGAGCTCAATTGCATCCAAAATGCTCGGAATTGGAAGTCGTAAGTCTGGGCCAGAGGTTCATTGCCATATATTTTTTTTCTTCAATTCCCTGAGTTGTATGGCTCTCACAACTCTCTAATATGTAGAATGTTTTGAGGGTATAACTTTTATTCTTGAGCTCGGCGGATGTGTTTAGGCCAATTCACAGGTGTGCACCCTTACACGTCAATTTCCTTCATTATATCAGGCAAAAAAAAAAATAGTCAATCTCTGGTCAGACCGTAAGTTCCGGAATTGATGCGGCGAGGCGGTTTTTTTTGGGAAGGGGGGGGGGGGGTGGTGGCCTTTTTCAGGCTTGAATTAAATGTGCATATGCAATCAAGGTGGGTACTATTTTGCTTTTTTTGTGTCTTCATTATACATTGGTGTCCTCCATAATTTGCATTGCATGGTGCCCTTTATCATTTGACTTGGTGCAATTTCCCCATTCCTTGGTGCTCCTTGGTACAAACATTTGAGGAGGTGCGACAATAGAGGGCGCTGTTGTAGCTTCCGTGTTAATTTGAAGAAACAAAATGTTGACGCGCATAAAAAATAGACGCGCGCGCTGACCAGAGACCGATTATTTTTTTGTTTGGCCTTACATTCATTATTTGGCGGTTCCTGTCAATTTCCAATAACTGTGTTTACATGCCGAACGGCCAGACGGACGTCGGATCAGCGCAGTGAGCAGTGTTTGTGAAGTGCACCCTCTCTGTAAGAAATTGTTGCATGACGATAAAATACGGAATGTCCTTCGTACAGCAATTTCCTTAAATCTGTAAATCTGGAAATCTGTAATGACATTTAGACTGTTTCTTTTGATTCGTCTTTCATGTTCATGATGGTCTAGGTTTCCTCCATGTCTTTTGGTTGTTGTTGATTTATGATTAATGAATAAAAGACATAAATTAATTTAAAAAAAATTACATTCACTTTTCGACGGTTCCTGTCAAGTTTCTAGATACCATGACAATATATATTACAAGAAATTTCATTGCAATACAATGTGTTTATCTTGAGTTCCCAATTTCACAATAACTGTGTTGACATGACGAACGGTCAGACGTCGGAGCGCGGGGAGCAGTGTTTGTGTAGCGCGCCCTCTTTTGTAAGAAATTGTTGCATGACGGAGTGTCATTCATACTGCAATTTCCTTCAATTACATTACATTCATTCTTCGGCGGTTCCTGTCAAATTTCTAGATTGTCGTGTCAAATACCATGAAAAAATAGTACGAGAAATTTCATTGCAATACAATGTGTTTATCTTGAGTTCCCAATTTCACAGTAACTGTGTTGACATGACGAACGGCCAGACGTCGGAGCGCGGTGAGTTCGCTCGTACCCCCCGCCCTGCAAACAGGACGCTCAGTGGTCAGGGCTGACATCATCTGAGCTGTGACCTGTGACGTAGAACGCGTCACACAGACTAGCTTCCGGTACCCATCATGCGTAGCGGGCTAGCTGCATGCGAAGGTCAATCTGTACTTCCTTCACAAGATTCTGCGAAGCTCATCAGCCCTGACCAGCGTCCTGTTTTCAGTGCGGGGGGACGAGCGAGCGCGGTGAGCAGTGTTTTTGTAGCGCGCCCTCTTTTGTGAGAAATTGTTGCATGACGATAAAATATGGAGTGTTCTTATTCATACTGCAATTTCCTTAAATCATATTACATTCATTCTTCGGCGGTTCCTGTCAATTTTCTAGAGTTTGGTGTCAAATACCATGGCAAAATATTACAGGAAATTTTCTTGCAATACAATGTGTTTATCTTGAGTTCCCGTTTTCAGAATAACTGTGTAGTACATTTCGAATGGCCAGACGTCGGAGCGTGGTGAGTAGTGTTTGTGTATCCGCTCCGTTCATAGCCTTGGTCAATGCTCTCGTCGTTATTCGTCCCGTACGCGGTCAATCGTCGGCATATATCCTCACGCGCTATGCACATGCATGTAAAAATACAGCGCGAACAGCGACCTCACGCGGCCACTATTTTTATGCAAATCAGTTGGAGACGATGTCGAACCTTGGTTCAATCGTCGGCCAAAGCAACCTCGTCCCCAGTGCTTACTTTATTTCCAACCGCGTTTCCAATAGTAAACCCTGGATAGGAAACTTTCTTCCTGTATCCTGATTGGATACCGCAATTGGCTAGTAATGGATTTTTATCGTGTACTTGGTGCTATATATTCACAACGTGCAGTACGTGTTTTCGCGATCATTCGTCCACGCCTTCTCGAAAATACTAATTTCCTTTCCAATTTGCTCATATCAATATGAAATATGATACTGCATGTTGTCTCGATAAGATCGTAACAGTTTGATTTCAAAAATCGTGTTTTCGTAACTCACGCCGTGCTCGCGCTGCTACGAATTGACTCTGTTTTTACCCCAGACACCGCATACAAAAACAAACGCTAATGTGTAACGCATATCCAGGCACCAGACTGTTCCTCATTTGCATACGTGTGCAAAAATCTTGCACATGCAAATGATCCAATACCAGGGTGAGAGAGCAGGTAGTGGTGGGTGCGTACTGCTCGACACCCTGGGGACGAGGTTGCGGCCAAAGCTAATGTTTTTCTTTACTTTGCGCTAGATTTCCAGCGCACGACCTCGTATGCGAATACAGATAATGTAGGCGGGGCTAATATGTGGAGTGTCCAATCACACCTAAGTAAATCCGGACGTCATCACATTATTTGCAGCTATTCCGGCTTTTGCGGACGTGACAGGAACCACAGTTCTTGTGCACTGGTGCCGTGTGCAGAGACACACAATGTGTACGTGTATGGATTATGTACGGTGCCACGTTTCACTATGCAAGTTTCCACGCAACGATCGACCAATAAGAAAACGATATTTAAGGTCAGTTAAGGCTATTAACATAATGAGCACCACCCCCAAGACCTCACATTGACGATTGAACCAAGGCTTGACATCGTCTCCAACTGATGTGCATAAAAATAGTGGCCGCGTGAGGTCGCTGTTCGCGCTGTATTTTTACATGCATGTGCATAGCGCGTGAGGATATATGCCGACGATTGACCGCGTACGGGACGAATAACGACGAGAGCATTGACCAAGGCTACTCCGTTCACAAGTACCCCCTCACCGGCAAAGGAAGTACAGTTGGAGGTGACCGACCGACGCCATCTTGCCTGACTGCAATTCATTTGCTGCAAAGCGCGGCCACTGCATGTACATAGAACAAATCCCCTGGTGTACGCGCGTCACACACAAGGAACGGTGTGCGTCAACCAGCGAAATGTCCCGCCCTTGGGACGTCGTTGCTAGGTAAAAGGGCGCCCTCTTTTGTTAGTTCACGGAGCTCATAGCGCGCCCGCTTTTTGAAAAACAAATATCCCATGACAATAAAATTCGGAGTGTCCTTAGGCCAAAAAAAAAAAATCTCCGGTTTCTGGTATGGAGCTTGCCCAAAAAGTGGTGCGGCGACGCGGCTTTTTTTTTTTACCTGTTTTTTGGGGGCTTCAAATGTCGGCTGATGACTGCAAATGGTGCCCGACTAAACTTAGTGCAAATATATGGGAGTCCAGAGAGGCCATATAAAGCTTATTCTCGATCATAACCCCATTTAAAAACACGTTAAAATTGTGCAGTAGCAGGATTCCAGTCAAACCAGTGAGTTTGGCGGTTTTGAGACATCATCTTTTATTGAAAATAAAAACTTTTTCATTTTGCCGACGCGCATGGCTACGGCGACGCGCGCGCATACCAGAAACCGGAGACTTTTTTTTTGGCCTTACAGTGTATTAAAATTCCCATGGACACTAGTGCTAAATGCCCATACTTCTAAATTCTTTAAAAAAAAACCTCAGAACT